CTGAAGTCAATAATGATTCTATAGATTATAAATCATGGGGGAACCCAGAAAATAATGGTTCTGACTAAGAAATAAATGAAAAAAATTCAGTGTGATGATAAATGGATTACTTACAGTCTTAAGGTATCTCCTCCAACAAAGGGCTTACTAATTACAAGAGTAAATGGAGAAGCTTGCCCCACAAGATATGTGACCCATATCTTGGTCACATGGTCCAAGATAAAAATAGCATCTGATGACAGAATACCACATAACATGGCTGTCCTGACAGCCTTGCTGAAGATGAATAACCACAATCTAACTATGAGGAACTAGTATGCAAACACAAGCTACAATCTGGATTCATCCAGTGATTCAAAACTCACACCTCTCATTCTACTATTGCCTTTAAGTGAATAGGTAGACAGAAACAATTTGGTAAGATTCAAGTTTCAAAAAACTTAGCACAGTACACCTAATTTATAAGCAATATAAGAGTAAGAGAAGCAAGTTTAGAGACATAGCAATGAATCTCCTTCTTGGATTTAGTATTTGGTATCCACTTCAAGACAAATGGCCCAGTCTGTTCAAGTTACTGTCATGGACTATTTCTGAAAGAATGAACTGTGCAGGGAGGTACTGTTCTAAACAGCATGATACCTAAGGCATAAAAACAAACTAAAAGGCATGCTTCATTTGTGTCTGGAGAGGGAGTAAAATTGCATTTGTTTAGTTATTTTATGTGTGAGTGTGTAGATATATGTAGGCTCATGTGTACATGCAGGCCATGGAGCAAGTGTGAATGTAGGAGAGCAAATTGTAGGATTTGGTTCTCTCCTTCCAGCATGTGGGTCTCAGTGAAGACTCTTAGGTTATCAGATTCAGCAGCTAAGTGCCTTAATTTGCTCAGCCATCTCAATAGTCATTGCTTAGTTTTGTGACAGGGTCTCATATCCTAGACTAGCCTCAAATTTGGTATACATATAAAGATGATACTGATCATCAGACTCAGTATCCCAAGTGCTGGAATTATAGTATACATCACTAAGCTCTTTTTTGTTGGGGATGGAACCCAGGATTTCATGCTTTCCAAACAAGCACACTACCAACTGAGCTATATCTCCTGTTCCCAAATACATGCTTTCTATCTGGTGTCTGGTTTCCATAAAATACAAGTTTTAGACAAATGAGGAATATTTATTTTGCAGTGCTTATAATCAAACCTAGGGCCTTGAACATGGTAAGTAAGCACCCTACCATTGCATAGCTATATATCCTCAGACCTAGCAGAGGAAATATTAATGTGAACTATTACCACCTTAATAAGAAAAGTATTATACTTAGTTTGATAAGTGGGAAAGTACTACAGAATCTGTAATATATTTTAAGATATAAAATATATAACATCAAATACATTTTATTATAAAACATAACATCAATATAGAAGGATGCTAAGTACACCATGTTTTCTGCTTCCTAGAGTTATGAAAATATTCAGAGTAAAAAGTAAAATTAAGTGTAAGGAAATAATAACAATAGAATGCTTTTATTGACAACATAACAAATTAACCTCAAAGCAGATAGTTTAAAATATAGTAACACAATAAAATAAAGTTAAGAAAAGGGGAATAAACACGAAAGCATAAAATTCAGAACATTTTATAAGACTTTTTTTTTGGCTGTGTTGCATGTTTTGAAATAAACATGAAATCTGATTAGAAAGTCTTACACTTATTACTTTGTTTCAGAAATTGCAAATAGTTAATATTCATTGATGAAATAAATAGTGATCAAAGCACTCAAGGAACAAATCAGTGCCTTGGTAATCATCACAGCCTTTAGTTGACAAAAACCCATTTTTTTTTTTTTTTACCTTTTCTTTTCTGAGTATGGTAGGTACACATTTGTATGTTCACAGGTGTGTAGGGACACAGACACACGTGTTACTCCACGTGGAAGGTGAGGTTGAAAAAGAGTCTTTTGGTTATGCTCTCCCATTTTATTTGAGGCAGGGTCTCTCAAATGATCCATAGCCCACTGATTCTGAATCTAGCTAGCCTGCTTCTTCCAAGGACTCACTGTCTGTGCATTTCTTGAGCACTAGGTTTACAGGCAGGCCACCATGCACACACATCTTTCATGTGGCTTCAGGGGCCTAAGCTCTGACTGTCGAGCTTTTTAGTTCTCAGCCATCTTCCTCATCCGGGTCCTAGCTCTGCTACCACTCTGTCAGACATTGTTCTCATTCTCTCTACTCTGGGCTCTCCATGCTTATCTGAATAGTTTGTTGGGGGGGTTCTCCTAATATTTGTTGTTGTTTTGATTGACATAGTCTTACTATGTGGTATACCTGACCTGGAACTTGCTATATAGATCAGGCTGACCTCAAACTTCCATTGCTTCCCAAATGCTGGTATTATATGTAGTGTGCCACCAGGTTTGGACTGTTTTTCTAATATTTTGTAAAAAGTGACACATGAAAAGCTGAAGTTGCTAATTCTGGTGACAAAAATTATGGCATCTTGAACACAATAAAGGTGTGGAAATCATTAAACATCAACTGTGTCAGTGTTAATCAGAGTAAGACAATCAATAAATGTGAGCAATTAGAGCAGCAGCCGTAAAGTCTATACTGGTGAGAGAAAACACAACGACATGCTGACTTTACTTGAAATCCATGTCTACTAACCTGGCACAGCCTTGAATTCTTTCTTTTCTTTTTTTTTTTTTCTATAATGTGTATACCTTCTTTCTGGGTAAGTCTGTCTACACCAAGCAAGCGATATAAACTGGTGCAGTAGGTCATCTAATTCCATCTTCATGTCTACTTACCTGTCTGTAGGCTAAGAGTAAATAGTCCATGGTCAGAGTCAAATCTCAGAGCTATGCTTTAAATTTTATCTTTACACCTACTCAAAGAAATCAGTGCAGCCACCATCCTCCTCTCTGCTGCATGCTGAATCTTTCTTTTCTATTAAACCATTCCCCACCAACACATACATATTCTGTAATTTCTTAAAATTTAGAAATGCTGTATTTGCTACTTCTATTTCCTCTCCTTTCATCCTCTGTTGAACAAGACCCAAAGGTTTCAATCCCACCAGGCTACAGAGCTGTTCTTGCTATGTACATTAATGACATCTGTGTTGCTAAGTGGTTGCAGGCTCAGCGGTCAGTATCTCTGAACAGCCCTGATATGCACCTCCTTGATTTTTCTTTCCCAGTCTTCTAAAACAAAACTCATTCTAGATGATCCTCGGTTCCCCGTACTTTTCCATTCTCTTTCACTGCTCCTTCCCAGTGATAGAATGACCCAGGGATCACTCCTCTTTTTTCTTGTATTATGGGCATAAATATCATTGTACTAACTTGTGCTGAAATTTCATTTGCAGCCCTAGAACTCCATATTAAGTACCTATCCACCTAATTTGTAACCCTCTTGCAGACTCATCATGCCCCAAGCCAATGTGTTTATGTATTATTCCTGCAGTTTTTCCCATCCTGGGAACTGGTCCCTCCATCTTTCTTGTTGCCCAGGCCAAACAAACCTTGGAATCATCCTGGACTCTTCTTCTCTCACAGTCCACATCTGATCCATCAGTAAATCCTGCCGTCTCCACCTTCAAAACATACAGGAATTTCGCTCACCACTTCTATGTCTAGCACCCCAATCCAAACCACCACCATCTCTCTGGTACACTGACCCCTTACTGATCATTGACCTGCCATTCTTGCTTTTTCAAACTACACTAAAGTAACAGCTGCCAGGAAGTACTTTAAGGAATGTTATAATTTGGATCTAAAAGTTTCTGAAAAGCTCATGCTAGAGGCTTGCCCCAATGCAGCAGTGTTCTTAAGGAGAGCCTTGGGGAGTGATTTACTTTACTAACATCAATGGGTTAACCCACTGCTGGGTTTAGCTCAGTGGGTACTGGAAACTTAAGGTAAAAACAGATCATCTAGGTAAAAACAGATCATCTTCAGGGCTCTGCCAACTCTCTCTCCTTTCCAACAGTCGTGAAGTGAGCAAATATCATTCTCCTCTTTTTAAGTTAATTTTCTCAAGTATTTTGTCATAGCAACAGAAAGCTAACTAGTATAAAGAACTAAATTAGATTAAAAGATGATGTTTCTCTTTAAACTAAACCTTTCTAGTAACTTTCCATTTTTTTCTATATTTAAAGTTCACATACCCAGCAGTCAAATGTTACAAACAAAACAAAATAAAACACTAAGGTCCATAGCTATATAATTAGAAAAGACAAAATAAGACTCAGTAAGCTATCTTGCTTTTGTTAGTTGTATTTTTTGCTCTAATTATTTTGGACTGCAGTTTAGAACCAGATATCAAAACTTTCAATACATAATTTTTGGTCCAGATTTTCAGTAGTAAATATTTATTCAAAGGATATAATCAGGCATTTCAAAAATGTACATATAAAAATTGATACAGTGGTTCTGATTTTTAAAGCACAGAAAACAAATTCACCAGACCTGACAGCATTGCTTGTAAGTTTTGGCGGATTCATAAAGTGGGAATGTACGCAGGTATTAATGAATGACATGCAAGAATGGTTTTTTTTTAAAAACTCATAAATTTCAAAACAGTATATTTTTTATGACTTCTGCCTGCAGTTGGGATTTTAAGTGACTTTCCCCCTAGCTTCAGTTTTTAATGTTTGGATTTTCAAAGTGTAAGTTGTCATTTTAAAATTCTCATTGAAAACAGCAGGGGGAGAAAAGAGGCATCTCCTCTGTGAGGATGTGAGCTCCCCCTCTGGTCTTTCAACAGTCTGGGGAATGGTAGTCAAGCACTATCCCACACTTCACTCTGGCTGCGGCTCAGGACTCTGAAGACATACCAAACTGCAAGATAGGACTTTCTTCTTGATGCAGTCTACTCAGCTGTATACTGATGACATTTTCTTTTGGCTAGGCTCTATGAAATCCATTCACAAAAGGATAAGAGAATTGAAAAATATTTTCCAAATACAATACACTCATAAATAAAGCACAATTACCTATCTCCCTTTGGTCTTCTTTTCTGCAGGGTCTTCCCTTTAGGTCTTCTTTCACTTCCTAAGCAGGGGCTCCCACCTGGGCCTGTTACCCGTATTGACTCAAGGCCTTTGGGGGACTTTTTAAATGTGAATTCTACTGGCTCTCCTTCTTTCAAGCTTCTAAATCCTTCCATGAACAGTTTGCTCTGTAAAGAGTAGGGGGAAAGAGAGAGTGATCAAGATTATAAAAGTAAGAAATTCTATTATCCATTACAAAAGTATAGTTTTTGTTTTATTTTACTGAAGTTTGATAAAACTTACAATGCTGACAATTGAAAGTCTATACCACTTTGTAAAAGCAATTTAGTGACAGAAAAATTTAAATGTACACACTCTTTGTCGCATCAATTCTACCACAAAGGTTTTACTATAAAGCCAGAGAGATGGCTCAGAGGGGAAAGCACTTGCCGTCCCCTAACAACCTGAGTTCAATTCCCAGCATACGTGATAAAAGGAGAGAACTGAATCCAAGTTGTTCCTCTGACCTCCACATATGCACCCATATTCACATATAAACATACAATAGGTAAATAAATGTAATAACATTTTAAAATCAAGATACTACTATACATAAACTCACATATCCATTCTTTTAGGCAACTACAGCACTGTCTGGTAAAAGAAAATTATATCTGCCTTAATAACATTTTAATCTATTGATTAACAAATTGTGCTAGAGCTATATAATATCATATCAAGATTAACATTACTAAGATTTTTATTATCTTAGGGCAGGTCATTGTTCTGTTACTGTTCTACCCACTGCTTTCTTTGTAGTGTAATAAATAACTTACTTTTCTTTAGAAAAGATATTTAGCACTATATACTGATGTATGAAGATAAACATGTGATATAGTTGAGTCTAAAAAAAGAAAAGAATGTGCCTACTATAATGCCACTAACACTTTTTCTTTTATTTTTTGATTATAATATAATTACATTTCTCTCTTCCTTTTCCTCCCTCCAAACCATCTCAAATACCACTCCTCGCTCTCTTTCAAATTCATGGCCCCTTTCTTCATTCATTGTTATTACATCCATATATTAGATACAATATAATCTGCCCTGTCTGTATAATGCTGTTTGCATGCCTACTTTCAGTGATAATTATTTGGCATTGGGTCAGACATACAATTTTTAAAGACACAATTATCTTTATAGAGATGAGGCACAAAGCAGAAAGTTCTACATGATACCTTATTGTATTAGCATTTCATATTAAAACAATTGACTTTTATAACTTATATTATTAAAAATTTTTTAATTATAAAATCATAACTTGAATTTCAAATACTTTCACTCTTCTAATATTAATTTTTTATCAATATGAATATGCTGATTCAAACAAAATATACTAAAATAATTAAATTATTAGTTTTTTATTTACCTGTCTGAATTCCTTTTTGTATATTCTGAAGTTCCAACTTGAAAGACTGTGTAATTTGTAAGGACTTTTCTGATCTAATGTGGAATATCATGCAGTCTGTAAGGACTTTTCTAGTCTATGTGAAATATTATACAGTTTGTAAGGACTTTTCTAGTCTATGTGAAATATTATACAGTTTGTAAGGACTTTTCTGGTCTATGTGAAATATTATACAGTTTGTAGGGATTTTTCTGAACTTGTGTGTTGAAAGAAAGAAACATTATTGTCATTTCTGCTGATGCATAAAAACTCAGGAAGTTTTATTTCTCAGTACAGCAGACTTGAAAAGAGACTGAGAGCAGGGTGTGTGCTCCAATGAACGGGTAAAATGCTCTATCTCCTTGGAACAGCCACCTTATCATATTAGTTTCAGAAATGTTCTCCCCTCCCAACTATTCCCAGGATAATAATACTGCTAAGTCCAGCAATGCCCTGACTTAGTTGATCAGAGGCCAGAAAATCTCTACTTCAAGTCCACAGTCCTAAAACCATCTGCTACATCTTAGATGTGCTTTGTCTCCAAACTTTTCCCCCAAAGAATTCACAGACCCAAAGTTGGGAAATAGTGTGCAACTTTGGGGAGGGGGACTGGGCCTACTAGGAGTCCATAGGTCAACAGGACTTGTGTTTTCTAAAGAGACTGTGGCCTGCAGTCTCAACTTCCTGTTTTGTAAGGCAAACGCTTGCTCTCATGCATATCCCCACCATGACGCTATCTACTCACTGGACCTTTGACGAAGGCAGACACAGTGCCTCAAAACCTGGGCTTAGACTCTGAACCTCCTGAACAATAAACTACATGACCCTATTTTACTTGTAAGATTTGACTTCATAAGTAACAGTAAACTGGCTCCTAGATACAGCAACTCCTTACCCCTAGTTTGCTTTCCATGGTTTACATTACCTAAGGAAACAAGTTAGAAAATATTAAATGAAAACACTTATATATAGTTTATAAGCTTAAGATGTAAATCAATTTGAGTAGCAAAATGAAGCTTCTGGCATCCCACTCTATCCCACCAATGAGGATGAATCATCCCTTCAGTACCCTGTGTACCTACATACTAGCTGATCATTAGTTACTAGCCACCATGGTTATCAGATCTGCCCTAGGTATTACACAGATTCTGTTCAAGCTACCCTAATAGAACGTAAAAATGGCCCCAAAGAAAAATAGTAGTAATGTTAACAATGCAGTTATGTTAGAATGAGCTATAAAGGGAGTTCTTTAAGTGAAAAGGTGAAAGGTAATGATTTAATAAGGGAAGATAAATGCTCATATGCCAAGGCTGCAGAGATCAACAGTGAAACAAATGTATCCAGGGAAGTGTGGAAAGGAAAAAGAAATTCATTGTTCCATTTCACACTATAAAAGATAGGGTCACAAAGCAGAGTGCTTGGTGAAGATGAAAAGAACACTGAATTTGAAAACTAGCTAAAAAAAGAACAAGAAAAACAAACAAACAACCTAGTATAGAGAGGGTTTGGTACAGAATGTTTTCCTTAGTCCTTTTCCCGCATCCAATGAGAATCTTAGAATGTATATTCAACATAAAAAGGGAGAGTACTCTAATTATATATAACTCAAATAATAATGGCATTATTTCAAAATGTAATGCAAAAGGAGACTATTCACTAAGAAAAGAAAAAAACCTGTTTCTGGTACAGGCTAAAGTCTATAATTTGACAAATCTTTTCTGCTGTCCAATGGAATGTAGTGAGGGAAAGAGCCATGACTAAAGCACATCATCTCTGTTAAAGCTATTTGAACAATTCTTTTTATCTCATAAGTAAACCAATGAGTTTATTGGGCTAGCTTATAGAATCATGGTTGATTGATTACAGGGTTATAGGTGAGTGCCAAACAACCACATTCAACCAAAATATAAGTACAGCAAAAGCAAGGAAAGTTGGAAAGCTGCATAGATAGAGCCTCTTTTTGTTAGTCTTGGCTTCCCTTTATACTGTCCTGAAGCTGGGGAAGAGTTAGAGCAGCTGAATGAGAACTAGGAGAGAGGAAGTTGCTGTATCTAGGGTAAGAGTCTGATGATCCTCTCCGTCACTGAAATCTTCAAAGGTAAACATCACTAGGTTCAATCTGTGGGGGTAGGGGAAGTGAAGGAGGGAGGAAGAGAGATTGTGAAAACTATATTTCTGAGTCTTGGTTACCTGAGTTTACCGTTGTGTGTGTGTGTGAAATATCTTTTTTCTACTGTAGTTTCCCCTTCCTCCCCTCCATCAAGACAGGCATAGCTCTTAGTTTACACTCACGCCTCAGAATCCCCAGATCTCACCAGGTAGCAAAAGAGGAGGGACCACAAGCTGTCCTCTGAACACCATTTGGCATACCTACATGTCCCGCTCATACACATGTGCTATGAAATTTTTAAACAGTTATAAAAGTCACAAAAATTACAAAAAAATCTTTAAAATTAAAAAAAACTCAGCAAATATTTTGTTTAAAGATTAAATAGTTCAAATATAGATGGAAAAAGATTTGTTGAAAGGGAGAACTATATTGTTTTATCCCAAAATCATCCTCTACTCCTGACCTACTAATTGAATGGTTCCATTGTTTTAGATATCTATTCCAATGTTGAATAGCATACTTACTTCATATAACCTCTCTTCCACTTGCCACATCCATTTTACTGGATTGCCACTTCCCTATTCAGGTCCCAATATCTACTATCAGAGTAACTGAAACAATTTCTTCATAACTATTTCAGCATTGTGTCTCCTCCACAATCCACCTGAATGCTGTCTGTGAATAACTAAGCTTGTTAGTCTCTTGTTTCAGAAGGCTACAATACTAGCTTCTTAAGCTGTAGGTCATGAGTGCTTACTGCTCTTGCAGAGGACCTAGATTCAGTTCCCAGTACTTACAGAGCAGGTCATAACTCTGTCACTCCAGTCCTAGTGGGAATCCAACACTTTGTTTGGCCTTGCCAACATGGCATGTACATGGTACACTTACATGCATGCAGGCGAAACACCCATACATAAAAGAAAAATAAATAAACCCTTAAAAACTCAGCGTAACAATTTTAAATGTACACATAAGAGTTATATAAAACAAGAGTTTTGGTGTTTGTACTTACATTTTCATCTACACCATTTCTTTGGACAAAACAAAAAAATACTGTACATAAGAGAGAATCACATCACAACTACTGAGTGAGTAAACAAAAGAATGAAGATAATTTAAAACAAAGTGCTAACCTGCCTATAAGAAAACTGTCATGCTTACACAGGACACATCAATTGTCATTTGCTGTTAGCCTATCTAGCACCTTTAATTTGCATTCCTCTTCTTTCAACCAAAGTTCCTTTTTCTCCTGCTTCTCTCTGGTCCAATTTTTTAATTTTTAAATTACAGCACATGCATGACACAGTTCTCATGAGGCTATGCAAGGACAACTTGCTTGCAGGAATTGGTTCTCTCCTTTCACCACGTGGGTCTTGGGCATAGAGGTTGGGTTGCTAGGCTAGGTGGCAAGCATGCTTGTAACAGCATGGTCTGGTACTTTGCATTTGATTGTTAATTATTTTGCTCCCCAAGGTCAGCTTGTTGTCTCTTACGAGCACATCTGCTTGTAACCTGTCCTTGTGTAAATCTTTTTCCACTTAAAGTTGGTTGGTTAATAAAGAATGCTGAAGCCTGGGCAGGACAGAAATGAGAGGCGGAGCTAAGATTTGCAGGCTCTGAGGACAGAGGGA